CAGCCTCCCAAGTTGCTGGGATTACAGGCATGAGTCACTACACCCAGCCCAAATATCCGTTTTAAATAAGGCCACCATTCACACTGGGTCAGGGGTCCAGCTGACTCTAGTATGACCTCATATAAATCAATTACATCTGCAACAACCCTATTCCAAATGAAGTAACATTCTGAGATCCTGAGGATGGACTTCAATATGTGAATTTTGGGAAGACACAATTGAACTCATAACAAACTGCTAAAGTGCAGGTCACAGTCTCCACCAACTTTAAAATCAAGGTTGCAAAATCTCAAAGCACAGCAAACTTCAGGTGATCCATACCAGGCTTTAGGGGAGATATAAGGAAGGTTTTCTTTGTTGTTTCAGTACAGTTGCTTGTTTGAAGTGGAACTGCTATGCAAACGAGGACCCTGGGACCTTGGATCATAAAATCCTCTGCTCCAGTGGTGAGTGTTGCCCCTGAAAGGGATGGTGCAGAAAACCCTGTCCTCCCACCCCATTGTCACCTTGAGGAAATAGTGCCTCTGCCTCACAGATAAGTTGTTTTAGACCATCACCATCATTCTCTAGAAACCATATCTGAGAATTGGTGGGAGAGGGGCTCAGCTTCAACCTGCATACACTCTGCTAAAGTGTCCTAATAAAATCCCAGCAGCAAGATATGGACATATGAGGAGGGACCCCAAAAAACAGAATTATTTTTAGGAGGGCGGGCCCCTTGTAGTATAGGCTTCCCCTGCTACGGAAGTGTTCTAGAAACTCATCAGCATCAGTGTACCAGCTAGCATTGTTGTGAGAGGCTGCATTCAAGCTTCAGTGAATTTTTCTGGAGATTCTTTCAATGGTTTGCCCATTTCATGGTGGGTGATTTATGAGCACACCTGCCCACACCGTGATACGTACCGAGCAGTTTTTGACTAAAAACGGCATGACCCCCGTGCCCCACCCTCCCTATTCATCCCATCTCACCCCGAGTGACTTTTCTTTTTTGTTTCTCCCGATGAAAAAAAATTCCTCAAAGGAAAACGTTTTGCTGATGTGGAGGAGGTGAAGCAAAAAACGACAGAAGCACTAAAAGGCATCAAAATTGACAAGTATAAAAACTGTTTTGAGTAGTGAAAAAAACGTCTCGATAGGTGTATTGCACCCAACGGAGAGTACTTTGAAGGTGATTGAAGTTTAAATATGCAAGAATACACAGTTTAAAAAAAAAATTTCCTGTTTTGGACTGGTCCCCCTTGTAGATAGTGATGAGAGCAAAATGTCCTGTTTCCTAACTTTCCAAAACAACCCATACCACGTTCAGGAGGGTGTAAAAGAAACAACCCCTTCCCGCCGCAAGCAGACAACAATAAGCGGCACCCTTCAGGTCTCTCCAAAGCTCAAGTGCTGAACTTACCTAGAGTCGTTTTAATCGTGCGGTCTCTTCCAGCTCGTCAGGAGTGGTTTCACATGCTCGACACCAGAGGGCAGGCCATTAAAACGTTCCTGCTCAAACCAGTTCTCTGCAAAAGCACAGGCTGCCACGGGCCACAGGAGTTGTTCCAGATTTAAGAGGCTCGGTCCCCCGCACAAAGCGAGGTGCATATTCAGGGAAGGGCAACACCCCGGAAGCACCGTCTGGCATGCAGGCCATTGTTTTCGTTTTGGAGTCTATTTACATGACAGTGTCAAGCCCCTGAACCAGCCTGCTCTTCCTGCAGATTCAGTTTACTTGGGACTTTTTCTAAATGGAGGAATAAATTGCAGTGGCCAGTGTGGGTCCCCAGGGTTTTATTTGGGGCTAATGGGTATCAGGAGGGGACTACATCAGCATCCTCCCGCTGATGGCAAGTTTACAAAGAACCACTCAGTGAGAACACTCCAAAGGAAGCTGTACTTAGTCCCTCAGGTTAAAGAGGCCCTAACAACTGGAATTCTATGAACTCTGTATCAAACCCCCACAAAGAGGAAGGCTCCGATGAGTCTGAGGATCCCATTGGCCCCAGTGCGGATTTTCTGTAGATTTCACTGCCATCATGATAATGACAGTGCTAATGTATTTCCAAGCAAAAGTCTCATTTTCTTTTTTTCTCCTGGGTTGGGATCTTGCTCTGTCACCCAGGCTGGAGTGCAGTGGCACTATCAGGGCAAACAATATCCTCAATCTTCTGAACTCAAGCAATCATCCCACCTCAGCTTTCACAGTAGCTGGGACTGCAGATATGTGCCACCGTGCCTGGCTAATTTTTTTATTTTTATTTTTGTAGAGAATGAGGTCTTGCTATGTTGTCCAGGCTGGTTTCGAACTTCTGGGTTCAAGTAATCCTCCCATCTCAGCCTCTCAAAGTGCTGGGATTAAATACACATGAGCCACTGCGCCCAGCCTATGTATAGATTTTCTGTAGACTTCATTATGCCATCATGACAAAGCCAGTGCTACTTCCAAGCAAATGCTGCTATTTTCCTTCTCACTCAAAGATCAGAAAGCAGCATCTAGAAGCAGCTCATTGGCCTCACTAAGGAGGGCTGGCTGGCCACGACACTTCACCGGCCTCTGTTTGTAGAGAGGTTCCCAGTTCTTCCTTGGCGGTCCAAACAGGATTTCCCTAGAGAAGGAGGGCTTCGTGGAATAAATGACAAAGAGAATTAGAGGGGCCTGCCAGGTCACTGGGCCCCACCCCTTTTTATCCAGCCCACGGGCTTCCCAGGGAGCCTGTCCAAGCCGGCGGAAGCAGATGCCCAGGGAAGCTCCAAACTGCAAAATCACTCCAGGCCTGCCCACACAGACACAGGGACATGCTGGATCAAACACTTTGCATAATAAGAAAAAGTCAAGAGGCGCTTTAAGAATCCCCTTAAGGAAGGACGACTGGGACCTGCAGCAGGAAGAAAGCTGAAAGACAAGTAGTGGTTTATTATTGCTTGAGAGAAGGAAGAGGAGAAAGTCAATGCGCTTTTTTCAAGTACTTCATGATGTGCAAAATTCTTTTTAATTCCTGAGTCCATTGCTTAAAAACTGTACATTTTTAAATTACAGAACTAGTGATGTTGTCCAACAACCAAAATAAAGAGAAATTGAATAATCTTCCTTTAAAGTCTACCATCTACACATTGAAGAAACTTCTGGCAAATTTTTGAGTTTTGCAGACAACATTCTTTGACTTCTGAGCTGTCAGTTTTTTCCTTTGTTGGCCTAGACTTTACAACAAGCAAGGAGGGCCAATTACTTCATAGAGATAATAAGAAACTCAAGAAACAGGAATTGGTCATTTCCAATCACCACTGGTAAGTTTCTTTAAAAGCAAAATAAATTTTTGTTTCAAATATTCAGGGCAGTAAGGCAAAATGTTTCTCAAGCAAGTTTGACACTACATCGTCAGGGTCTCTGAGTACTATGCGAACCTTACATTTTCTCATTCCACCTTTGAAACGTCTTTAAATCAGTTTTAAAGACAGAAGTGGCTCAGCCTGTAATCCCGTGCCTTTGGGAGGCTGAGGTGAGTGGATTGCCTGAGCCCGCGGGTTCGAGGCCTGCCTGGGCAACTTGGCGAGACCTCATCTCTACAATAAATCAAAAAAATTAGCTGGGCGTGGTAGCGCACACCTGTAGTTCCAGCTACTCGGACAGCTGAGGCGGAAGGATGGCCAGAGCCCCGCAGGTCGAGGCTGCGGTGGCCGGGAGCGGCCACTGTCCTCCAATCTGGGCGACAGAGTGAGACTCCAACTCAAAAAAAAAAAAAAAAAAGACATAAGTCTTCTGTAGTGATAATTCACAATGAAAAGCCATTTAAGTTGGCATATGTCAAATAGGTTAAGATTCCTGCTCCAAGGAACTGGGAGAAATTATTTTCTTATAAAAATGTTTTGAAGATTTTCAACATTTACTCATTCACAATGAGTCCCAAGTCCCAATCTGCATTAGGTTTTCATGGAAACTTTTAAAAAATACATACCCTGGCTGGGCATGGTGGTTAATGCCTATAATCCCAGCACTTTGGGAGGCCGAGGTGAGAGGATTGCCTGAGCCCAGGGGTTCGAGACCAGCCTGGGCAACACAGCAAGACCTTATCTCTACAATAAATAAAAAAATTAGCCAGGTGTGGTGACACACACCTGTAATCCCGGCTACTTGGAAGGCTGAGGCAGAAGGACTGCCTGAACCCAGCAGGTAAGGCTGTGGTATTTATGAGTGTGCCACTGCACTCCAGCCTGGGCAACAGAGTGAGACTCTAACTCAAAAAACAAAAACCAAAAAACCTTAGGTCCTCCACTCCAGAACTGCCTGGAGATCTGTATTTCACATGGTCCCCAGGTGATGATAACCAGTGGACAATGACATCAGGGCTAGAGATTTCCTACATACCCCACAGGCTGTGGCCCCTATATCTCACATTCAGCAGCACAAGGAGACCTTTCTGTCCCTAACCACCAACCACACAATCTTACTTCTCCCTTCCTGTCCTAGAGAACTAGACCACAGCAATGCATCTCAATGTGGACAAGCAGAAAAAGCATCACCAAGGACTTGGCAAAATACAAATTCTCAAGCCCTACCCCAGACCTACTAAATGGGAAATGCTGGGGATGGGACAGACACAGTCAGGTTTTGGTTTCTGTTTTTTGAGTCAGAGTCTCACTCTATCCTCTAGGCTGGAGTGTAGTGGCTTAATCATGGCTTACCACAGCCTCTAACCCCTGAGTTCAGGCGATCCTTCTGCCTCAGCCTCCTGAGTAGCTGGGACTACAGGCATCCCACCACATCCAGCTTTTTTATTTTTGTAGAGACATGGTCTTGCTATGTTGCCCAGTTTGGTCTTGAACTCTTGGGCTCAAGCAATTCTCCTGCCTCAGCCTTCCAAAGTGCTGGGATTACAGCCATGAGCCACAGTGCCCAGCCTCACTGTCATGTGTTTTAACAAGTCCTCCTGGTGATTGTGACATAGGTTAAAGTTTAACCACTGGGTTAGAAAATTTCACACTTTCAAGAGAGAAGTAATAAAGAAAGACATAACTCCATGGAAGGTAGAACCAAGTTTATTAATGACAGCCTTTATTACAACCACTCTCAAGTGTAAAAAATAAAGGGTGATTAATTAAAATTTAAAATTCACTTGGACTTGCTGTTTTACCTTTCACTGGATGTGCCAAAGGGTGGGACTCTTGCCTGATTCTTAATCAATTGGTCAGATGGAGTTCACCGGAGAATGAGGTAATCAACAAGAAAGACAGAAGTGACCACCGGAGAGCTCAAGTCTCCTCTATGTTGGAACATGACATTACAACATGACAACCGTGGGGGAGGCAGAGATGAAATAAAACCTTTCAGCCAGAATATGGCACAAACACTTCTACGTATACAGAAACACACACACACACATGCAGAGTCATACACACACCCAAACTGTGGAGACGAGATTGGAAAAGAATTTCTGTCCTTTTTCTGAGCAGACAGACAGACACATTCATCAGCCACCACAATGCCACACATGGCTGGAATGAAATCTTTCTCAATTTCCACAAAGCGTGCAAGCTGGCTGCCCAGTTATGTGCTGGCAAATGTGTCCCCACTGTAAAATGGGCCTCTGGCTTTCCCAACATTCCACAGACTGATATCTGCTCCCCAGAAGAGCAACATCTGGTGGATACCAGTTAGGTTAAAATCTGGGAGGAGGGAGGATAAAACTCGTCCTTCCCACCTAAAGTGGGGGCAGGGGCGGCAGCACCTGGAAGTGGTTTCCCACCTTGTGTCACAAAACACTTGCCCCGGTTCAATGCGTTCCCCTACAAAGTATTTGTGCTTTGATACTATCCTGATGGTTAGTCTGCAAGAAGAGAACTGAAAGAGCTCTGGCCATGTACTATTTTCTTTTTGTTTTTTTAAATCAAAGCAAACTAAAACCAGAAGAAGAAGAAGAAACCCATTAGAAGCTCTTTGACTGTGTCAACATTGTTTTGGAATTGGGTTTAATTCCACTCAAAGAGAAAAAGGGGTAGAGTGCAGAAGAGGCCACTCAGATGGACACTGGAAGGGACTGCTGAGTCCATGGACACATCTGTGATGGCACAGCTGGCCTCTTCCCAGCCAGGCTGGGAGGACACACCACAACCTCCCCAGGCCACGAACCTAGGAAATAAGTGCTAACCAGATGACATCTTTAAATGTAGAAAAGATGGTGGAAAAGGGAGGTGATGGGTTCAGATTCACAGGTCATGCAGGTTAAGATTATATCAAAAAGTATTTGAGTTGAGTAAGAAAACACTTGAAAATTTAAGAGGACCTGTATCATAGCATTCAGTGTTGGAAGACAAAAATCAAAACAAAACAAAAAACAGAACAGAACGACCCAGAGGATTCCAGAATTTCCAAAGAATCCAACAGTTAATTTGGTAGGGGTGGGATAAGGGAACATTTAATTAATACCTCCTCATTAGCCTCATTTTTCTTCTCGAATTTCATTGATAAATAAAGCTCAGGCTACTTAGAAAAAAGATCAGTCCTGCTAAAATAAGCATCATGAAGTCTTCTGATGCCCTTGCTCAGTGCACATAGAATCCACAATTTCTCTTCTAAGGAGACACTCCAGGATAGACCAAGTGTGCCCACCCAAGTCACTTGCTGAACAGCATCACAGATGCTGAACCTGATGAACTGTTTTCTTCTTCAGATGATGGTTGCAAGAGTCTTGAAAGGTACATGGAGGGACACCAGCAAACCACTGTCCTTCCAGGAGAGAAGCAGAGTCTTGGAAGAGATGCACTTATCTAGGGAACAGAAGGCAGTCCAGTCCCTCTGAGGTGTGATGAAGAGCGGAACTGCCTCTCCCAGCCTTCCAATGACTGACATAGAGGACAAGACTGTATTTTCCACAAACTCAAGGACACCTGGATCCCCCACCCTCCGTTTTTTGCTTTTTTGGTAGGCATTCAACCATCCATCAATTCATGGCTACAGTAGAGATTCACGGCGCAACAACTTTCATACTGGTTTTTTAAAAAAAATTCTGTCAGTGAGCAGCATTTCCCAGTTTTATATTCCCTCCAAAATAAGTTCTTGGCAGCTCCATTAGGTGAGATTGCAGGATGCCTTGGTGATTAGGTCCGTGCGGCTTGGATATCAGTTCGGCACGCGGGAGGTCGCGAAGCCTGGGTCTGTCCAGTGTCTTGCAGCAGCGGTTGCAGGGCCTCTACCAGCTGGCCCTGACAGCTTCAATATCACTAACCAAATTCTGGGCCAGGCATATCCCAAAAATCTGAGAAAGAAGAAAAAGTGAGTCAAAAGGGATGGTCTTAACTTCATTAGGCTTTTCCTGGGTCATTGTGTCCCATTTTTTTCTAATCTTAGGTTTTTGGAATTTGAGATATAATTCATAGATGGCAAAATGCATCCTTTAAAAATGTGTATAATTCAGTGGTTTTCAGTATATTCACAAAACTATGCAATTATCACCATCTGCAGAACATTTTCATTACCCCCAAAAGAAACTCTGTACCCAAGAGCAGCCATTTTCATTCCCCTATCCCTACAGGCCCAGAAACCACTATTCAACTTTGTGCCTCTACAGATTCGCCTATTCTGGACATTTTATATCAATGAATCATATAGGGGAGGGTCTGACAATTCAGTTCATGAACTTGCCACCCTGTACTTATGTTCCTGCAGCACTATACAAACAACTTGATAAGGTTTCATAACCTTGGTATATCAGTGTCTCATAGCTGTGTTCATGTCGATGTGTGGTGGTGTCTTGCTGAGTGGCGTTCATTATTGTTGTTGCATTATTGTTTGGTTGCAAGAATGTTGGAGCTTGAATTAGAGCAATGAACAAACAATAAATTTCTTGTTAAACTTGGCAAGAATGGAAATGAAATCAGAAGCATATTAGTCTGGGTTTATCAAAAAATTAGGCGGGTGTGGTAGCACATGCCTGTAGATCCAGCTACTTGGAAGGCTGAGATGAAAGGATCACCAGAGCCCAGCAGGTGGACACTAGGGTGTCCGTGAGTGTGCCACCACACTCCAGCCTGGGCGACACAGTGAGACTCCAACTCAAAAAAAAATCTCAGGATTTTCCTTCTTGTGTGTTTCTGTCTTGCTTCTTTATAGTCCATGATGCCAGTTGTCAGTATAATAAAACCAAACTGGTGGGATGGGAGCAGATTACTCTGCTCCTTTTCTAGATCTTTGAGTTGTACATCATATCTGTGGCTGACCATGCCACATTTGTTTAACCTGCCTGTTAAATTCACAACAATTTTCCCAACACTGTGATCACCAGTGATTTCAAATTCACCATTGTAACCTTGCTTCATCATCATAGTTAGAAACCGGATGATGACTTTGGAGCTTAGCCTAATAAAAACCTGGCATTTGCCTCTCTTTTTTGGCACTGTTGATGCTCTTGACAGCATCAGCCAGGACAATCTCACACACCATGATGGAAGCATGGAAATATGGCAGAAGGAGTGTGTGTACCAGTTCTTGAGTAAAGATATTTTGGGGGGGTACATTGTTTTGGGCACATTCTTAGGAGAGGAATTGCTGGATCATATGGTAACTCTATATTGAACCTTTGAGAAACTGCCAAATTGTTTTCCAAAGAGCCTACACCATTTTTACTTCCTCCAGCAACACACAAGAGTTCCATTTTCAAGAGTTCCATTTTCTCCACATCCTTGCCAACACTCACTTGTTATTGTCTGCCTTTTTTATTATAACCATCTTAGTGGGTGTAAAGTGGTATCTCATTGCTTATTGTGGTTTTGATTTGCATTTTCCTAATGACTAATGATGCTGGCATTGAGAAATGTCTATTCAGTATTGAGATCCTTTGCTTTTTTTTTTTTTTTTTAAAGACAGGGTTTTGCTTGTTGCCCAGGCTGGAGTGCCAGTAGCGTCATCATAGCTCATTGTAGCCTTGAACTCCTGGGCTCAAGCGATTTTCCTGCCTCAGCCTCTCAAGTAGCTGTGACTATAGGCACATGCCACAACTCCTGGTTAATTAAAAAAAATTTTTAGACCGGGTGCAGTGGCTCACACCTGTAATCCCAGCACCTTGGGAGGCTGAGGTGTATGGATTACTGAGCCCAAGAGTTTGAGACTGCAACTGGGCAACATAGCAAGACTCTGTCTCTACAAAGAATAAAATAATTATGCTGGACATGGTAGAGGTGCGTGCCTGTCATCTCAGCTACCCCAGAGGCTGAGGTGGAAGAATCACCTGAGCCCAGGAGGTCTAGACTACAGTGAGTTGTGAACATAGCACTCCAACCTGGGTGAAAGAATAAGATACTAACTTAAAAAATATTTTTTTTAGAAATAGCGGTCTCACTATGTTACCCAGACTGGTCTTGAATTCCTGGCCTTAAGTGATTCTCCTGCCTCAGTCTCTCAAGTAGTTTGAATTACAAGTATAAGCCACTGCACCTGGATGCCCATTTTATTTTTATTTTTTGAGTTGGAGTCTCACTCTGTTGCCCAGACTGGAGTGCAGTGGCCGCTCCTGGCCACAGCAACCTTGACCTGCTGGGCTCCGGCGATCCTTCCGCCTCAGTTTTCCAAGTAACTGAAACTACAGGCGCGCGCTACCATGCCTGGCTGATTTTTTTGATTTACTGTGGAGATGAGGTCTCACTGCCCAGGCAGGTCTCAAACCCGCGGGCTCAGGCAATCCACTCACCTCAGCCTCCCAAAGGCATGGGATTACAGGCTGAGCCACGGAGCCTGGCTTGGATGCCCATTTTAAAATTGGGTTTGTCTTTTTACTATTGAGTTGTAAGAGTTCTTTATATATTCTAGATATTAAATCCTTATAAGATAATGACTTGCACATATTTTCACCCATTTTGTGGGTTATCTTTTCACTTTCTTGATGGTATATTTTCAGCTCAGATTTTAATTTTGATGATGTCTAACCTATGTTTTGTTTGGTTGCATATGCTTTTGCTGTTATATCTGAGAAAACACTGCTTAATCTGAACTCACAAAGATTTACATCTATGTTTTCTTCTTGACCTTTATAGTTGTAGCTTTTATATTTAGGTCTCTGATATATTTTGAGCTAATTTCTGTATATGGTGTGAGGCAGGGGGTCTATATTCATTCTTTCACATATACATAGATCCAGCTTTCCCAGTACCATTTGTTGAAAAGACTGTTATTTCCTCCATTGAATGGTTTTGGTTCCTTTGTGAAAAATTAGCTTACTATAGATATATGGGTTTATTTCTGGACTTTCAATTTTAATCGACTGCTCTATATGGATAATCTTACTCAAGTACACACTATCTTGATTATTGCATAGCTTTACAGTAAGTTTTGAATTGGGAAGTGTGAATTCTGAGCTCTTCAACTTTGTTTTTCATTCTCAAGTTTGTTTTGACTATTCTGGGTCCCTTGCATTTCCATACAAATTTTAGGATCAGCTTGTCAATTTTTTCTAAAAAGGAGGTTGGAATTTTGATAGGGATTGCATTGAACCTATAGACTAATTTGAGAACTGTTGCCACCTTAATAATATTAAGTCTTGCAATCCATGAACAAGGATGTCTTTGTATTTATTTAGGTCTTCTTTAACTGTATGCTCTTAGGAAATTATTACACCAACAACATGAAGAATCCAGCTCTTGAAGACCGGTCAGAAGGAAAAGTGGTTGATCCTCTGCTGCCCAGCACCTTGGCAGGGTGGTCCAGAGACAGACAGGGATATGACAGCATGTGAAACTTCCAAAAACTCTGACATTACCCCTGAGTGCTACTTCTAACTGTCCATGTCTAACCCACTGCCACAGAAATGATGAAATGCAGCAAGCAACTACTGACCGAATAAAGTTCTCCATTTTGAAAAGAACAAAGGGTTTCCCTAAGTAGTGATGATGCCAACAAAATGTATACACATTTTAAGAAATGTTATCTTTTTTTTTTTGGGTTGGTGTCTCACTCTGTAGCCCAGACTGGAGTGCAGTGGCATGCTCCCAGCCACTGCAGCCTTGACCTACTGGGCTCCAGCAATCCTTCCGCTTCAGGCTTCCAAGTAGCTAGAACTATAGGCACGTGCTACCATGCCTGGCTAATTTTTTATTTATTGTAGAGATGAGGTCTCGCCAAGTTGCCGGGGTGGGTCTTGAACCCACGGACTCAGGCAATCCACTCGCCTCGGCCTCCCAAAGTGCTGGGATTACAGGCTGAGCCACCGAGCCTGGCCACGAGATGTTATCTATGTATTATTTTTAGTTCGCTATAATCAGAAGTGTCTAGATACTGGTGGTAACCACTTTAAGCACCTCTTGTGAATGCAGAAGTCAAGCGTGACTTGTATTCGTCTACAATTTTAATACAGTTTTCCCCTTTCTTAAAATGTGTATACATTTTTTGGCACCCTCTGTGTTTCAAGACAGTAGCCTCTAAACTCAGAGCTTTAGTAAAATACAAACCAAATAGTTTATGTCTGTCCTCTAGCCCTCTAGTGTATCTTGAAAACTATGACATTACGGTGATTAAACAAAGCTCATGACCTGGCAAGGGGCTCTCCCAGGACATCATCTCCCCATGTTAGCCACAAAGGACCCGTGTCTTACCTGCAGTAAGGCAATGCCTATGAAAATACCAGCCACAATGGTTAAATTATCCTGCAACCACTTCTCAAACTGGGGCACACAGCCTTTTGTGTAGATGACAATCTGCTGGTCAACTTCCTTCACAAGGGAAGAGGAGAGCATAGTGTCACAAGTACAGCACAGTACACATGCCAAAGCTGCTCCAAACACCCTTTGCTAAGTGACAAGATGAGATTCCACTTACTGGTTTTTGCCTGGCATCATAGCCACACTGAGTGTTGATGACATCTTCCTGGTGAAGAAAGAAAAGACAAAAGTGAAATTCACTCTTACTAGATGAAAAGCCCACCTACGAGTAGGCAGAAGACTCCTGTTAAGTGTCAGTAATAAGTGTGTATCTGGGCACACAGGTCACAGCAATGGGTCAAAACTTTATAGACATTACCTCACATCATTATCCTAATGATTGTCAGAAGCAGTTATTAAAATAAGCCCTATTCTACAGATGAGAAAAACTAAGGTTTGGGGACTATCAGAAAGGACAGCAAGTTTATCATGCGAGAGGTTCAAGATTCAAAGTGTTGCCAACCTCAAGAAGAAGCCTGTGGGTTTAGGGAACTGGAGACACAGATAAACACCTAGTTAGAGGATACAATGATGATCTTCATTCATGCTCTTTGGAGGGGACTTCTACTTTTTAATCTATATACTTCTGTATTATTTAAATGGTTTTTCAATAAAAATGTATGACTTGAATAGTTAAAAAACAAAACAGTTTTTTTTGGCTACGTGTCACATGGAAAGCCTGATGTCTCACAGGGTCTGACCAGAAACATGGCTTCCACTTTTTAGGTTGGTTTCTTTTTCCCTGGGTACGGGGCAGACTTTATTAGCTTAGCATTCAGGGATGAACAGTCACTACTCTGAGGAGCTGTAGTTGAAAGGGGAGGCATTCATGCCTTCTGAGAATCTTTAGGATTCTTCTGGTGGACTGGGAATGCGGGACAGGAACTGGAGACAGGGAACATGTTGCGTGGCAACTGCCAGTCAGTGCAAGGCTGCCTGGATGGGCACCCCAGGCTCTCATGGGGCACTCTGTTGCCATTTGGCCCTCCTCAGAAGAGAGAGAGAGAAGAATGAACTGGTGGGGAAGGTTGGCTTTCCTAGCGGGATCTCAGAGCCAGGGCAGCATAGTCCTTAGAAATTCAGCCCCCTCCTTCAGACTAAGAGAAAGGGCCCAGGTGGTCCCCATGGGCAGCCTGCTGGGAAGTTCTCCTTTCCTATCCCAAAACCATGGCCCCTTTTCAAAATCCCCCCCAAGTCTCCACCTTGAGGAGAAGCACCCTCTTGAACTTATCAGCAGCTGTTGCTTATGTGGGGGGCAAGAGCAGGTCTAGGGGAAGACATTTGGGGATTGCAGGGTCAGAGAAAAGCTGAGGTGGACAGGAAAGGTGGCAGTTAGGAGCACAGAAAGACATGCCAGAAGTAACCTCCCAGGCTTGCCATTCTGACACCAAGAGAGTTGCATTATAAGTCATGCTACATGCCAGGCACATGATTTGACCCCAAATATAATCAAACCTGTAGCAAAAGGGAGTGGTTTATGAATGGACTTTATATTTTTTCTTTGCTTATATAAAATAAAAATTGCAATTACTGTAGTCATAATGACTTCCAAGACTCTGGGCAGCTATGGTCTTCCTACAAAACAGTCTGGCCCCATCTGGTCTCAAACTCTCCTCCTACTCCTAATATGTCCCTAAATCCATTCCAGGAAGGAAAGGGTTATTGGCCAAGAGCTTCCAGATGAGCCTGTCCTCATACAGAAGGACTAACAGGTGACACAAGCAGACTGCCTGGGTCTGATGCTCAGCTCCACCTCCCTAGCAGTGTGAGCTTGGCAAAGTTACTTCCAACCCATGTGCCTTGGTTTCTTCATTTGAGAAGGGAGGATAATGGTGTATCTGTTGGTAGATATGTTCCTGACTTCAATGAGCCAACATACATAAAGGTTTAGAAAGGGAACCAGCATGTACTGCTAAATTAATGCCAACGATGATGACTCCTACTGGGAAGATTTGAGCACTATATCCCCTCCAGGAGCTACAGTGAAGCATTGCCAGGTAAGCTGAGGTTTCAAGAAAAGAACCAGGCTGCCAGTTCCACATACACCCTCAGCGTGCTGTGCAGAGCAGACCCATGGTTGGTGGTGTTCACTTACTGCGGGGTCTTTAGTGCAGCAGGAGAATGGCACTCCGCATCGCTCTCGACTTGCATTGGAATCTGTGCAATTGAAGTAAATATTTAGGTTCCAATCATCAGCTCCAAAAGCCCCACAGCACTGCCACTAGAGCAAACAGGAGAGAATTAGAACATCCCAACTTGGAGGCAAACAGGCGCCTACACTCGCACCCATCAAACGACACCCAGCTTCTGCCAGTTCTGACCTTCTCTTCTGCCTTGGATTTTATTTTTAAGCCAAAGTGAACCTAAATGGCCCCTATGAAAGTCTCCAAAGTAATTAAGGCAGAGGGTTTGTTTGTACGGATATGTTGGCGTGCGATTTAAACAACTGATGTGACCCGGGCATTGGGGGGGGGGAAAGGCAGAGCAGTTGTCCAGCAGGCCCATCAGAACAGATCCGTTTGGCTTGGGCCCATTATTCCACATTATTCCAGAAGGATAAACAAGAACATTCTAGTTAAGCAAGACACTAACAACAGTGGTAGTGTCTGAAGGAGGCAACAGGAATTGTGGGTGGCCTACCTAGAGGCTTACTTTTATAAAGTTTTGATCTCTACATTTTAATGATTTTGAAGAAAAAATTAGTTTTGTTGAGGTATATATAACTGACTTATAATAAACTGCACACTTTAAAGTGCACAATGTGAGAAGTTTTGACTATGTATACATCACAAAACCATCACCACAATCAAGATGGTCAATACATCTATTACTACCAGACGCTTTAGGGGCATACTCTTCATTACATTGTTTCTGTTCTGAACTTCTTTTTAAACAAACGTATGTGTTACATTTTCAACTTTAAAAAATCAGTCATCTGATTACAATGCAGTGACACGAGCTGTTAAATTCAGTGGTTCTTAAACAGGTCTGAGTCATAAGCCCCTTCCTTGCTCCCCTAGGCTGAACTTTCTCTACTTCTCCGAGTAAAATAACTTGTCAAATCTCGATCATTTTAAGGCTTTCAGGACCAGTAGCTACTTGAAAACATTAAACTCCATGACAAAAAAATAAAATCACTTGAAGCAGCATTATTTCCACATAAAGCAGACAGCACTTCAAGAGAGCGTGTACATGCATGTTCTTCAAACTTGTCTGGTTCTTCCAGGGCTTGAGCTGTGCATCTCAGGGTTTCCTTACAGCGCTCCATCTAATGTGTCACGCAAACTAGTCAGGAATAATGCTTGGGAGGTGTGAGCTTGCATCCATCATGATCTAATACAACGGTGAAGTCGGCTGAGGAGATGAAACAGGGCTTCATTTCACACCTGAGGTATTGCTTACTCCAGGACAACCACTGCTGCCACTCAACAAAACCAACACAACCCAGCTCATTGCTGAGCACATAACGAGGGGGTGGCCTCCTCCCTCATGCTGGGTGCCTACGTGGCCATGGCCTCCCTCCACCACAGATGGAAAACTGTCCAATCCAAAGGAGGCCATTGGTCCCTTGGGGTTCTGCCTGACCGCCAATCCTGCCATACAAATTAATGCCACAGACCCACTGTCCAGTTCTGCTCAGCCTATCTGATTTTTCAGGGCAGGAATATAAAGATGTGCAAGTCTGTAGGATACTAACATCTTAAACCTAATATGAAAATCATGTATGTCGCCTTTGAGTGTCATAATATCCCCATGAGTTAAACAGTAGCTAGTCTTGTTTCCATTTTACTACTGGGGAAATAGGCAACGGTCCCTCAGCTAATCAGGTTTTGGCACTAGACCTGTGTCTTTTGGTCCCTTGTTTATGCCATTCTGCATTTTGCATAAAATAGGACATCTGCCACTTTGTATAGCAGGAGTCATTTCACAGTCATCATCAGGGATGTGGGGGGTGGTTGGGACTCCATACAGATTCTTCATTTGTCAGAAGCCACGAGGCTTTAGGAGTTTCTAAACTTTTGGTTTTAACAGCATGTGCTGTGATAATATATGGATAGGTATATTTGTAAGAACTTTGTAGACAAATATTCTGTTGCTAGGTATATTATTACAAGCTGTGACATATTGAGGATTTATCAAAAAAGGAGCAAGGAATAAGAAAGAATCCAAACCGGGCACGGTGGCTCACATCTGCAATCACAGTACTTTGGGAGGTGGAGGTGAGTGGATTGCTTGAACCCACAGGTTTGAGACCAGCCTGGGCAACATGGCGAGACCTTGTCTCTACAATAAATTTTTAAAAATAGCCAGGCGTAAGCCGGGCACGGTGGCTCAGCCTGTAATCCCGCGCCTTTGGGAGGCTAAGGTGAGTGGATTACCTGAGCCCGCGGGTTCAAGACCCGCCTGGGCAGCGAGACCTCATC